ACCCACCTGCCCATGGGCCAGACCGAGGAGCAGCTGGGGGTGGGTGTGAAGGGACTGGACCAGTACTGGGGCGGAGTGGGGAACAGGCACTTGTAGAGATTTGTGGCCCATAGGCGGCACCCCTCACCTTCCTCTGCCTCCCACCCCACCACCCCCACAGAATTTTTGGTTTATAAAATTGTCCCTCTGGCCCCTGCTGCAACCTTGTGGGGTATAAGAAACCCAGGCACTCACAGCCCCTGGAGGGGCAAGGAAGGCAGGGTTAGGGCTGGGAGGGGATATGAAGGGGGGAGGACGAGGTAAGAGGCAGAGAACAGGGAAGGGGACAAGGCTTTACTTCCTACGATTGTAATTTTAAAAAAAAGTTCCTGGGTGTTCAAGGCCAGAGCCTCTGTTCAAATAGAAATCCCCAGAATGGAGGTGCCCCCCCTTAACACCCTCCTCCCGCCCCCCACCACCACTTTGCCCAGAACTTAGAAACCCAGAGATAAGGAGATTAGCCCCTAGCCCTGGGCACCCACCCACCCTACCATTAAAAAAAAAATTTAAAAGTTTTATACAAAATGTGGGGAGGAGAAAGGGAGGAGGCAGGGAGGAGGCTGAGGGAGCTGCCCTCACCTCCAGGGCTTTGGGGGGGAGGGGGTTAAGGCAGCAAAAGCTCAGGGAAGGGGGGGGCACACGGGGCCCTTGCCCACAGCTCTCAGGAATCATGATGCTCCAGGGAGAGCTGCGCTGTGGCGTGCTGGAGGTCAGAGCTCACCCGTCGTGGGGTGAGGGGCCCCCCGGCCTCCCCAGGGCCTGTGTCCCCACGCACCTTCTTGTCCTCACCCTCATCCTCAGGGCCCCCGGAGAGGCCCCCGCCCCCCTCCAGGCGACAGTCTTCACTCCAGCGCCGCTTAAAGCGAAGTTTAAGGGGCATGCACTGGGCCGCCCCAGGTGCCTCTCCGGGCTCTGGCTTGGGGGGAGCAGGTGGGGCACGGGGGGTCTTGAACACCTCCCCATCTTCCTCATCCTCGTCACTGATGTCAGTCACCTCCACCTCCTCGGACTCGCCTTCTGAGATGGGCTCCACCTTGATCTGGGGTGGTGGCGGTGGAGGGGCCAATGCCGCTGCCCCCCTCAGCCAGCCCACCTGGGCTCCCGCTACACTTGTCGGCGCCTGCTGGAGCCTTCTCTCCAGCTGCCCGCTGCCGGCGTCCTAACGGGGGCGGCTGCAGCTTAAACTTGAACGGGGATGAAGAGGAGGAAGAGGAAGACGAGGCTGAGGAAGGGACCGGCGGGGTCTCGGGTGCCATGGGCGGCAGCGGGCACTTGTCAGGGCGCTGGGGCTGGGGCACCACCAGCCCAGGGTAGTGCAGGAAGGCTCGGGGACTGAGGTGGTAGTTGTAGACGCTTTGGGTGTGGGCCTGCAGGTACCGTTTCATGTCCTCGGGGCTGAAGGAGAAGTGGGAGCCTCCCCCTGAGCCACTAGGGCCCCCACCGCCACTAGGGTACATAGGACTCAACGTGGGTGAGGGTGTGTAGGCCAGGTGGGTGGGGGTCATAGGCAGAGCTGGGGAGAGCTGAGGGGGTAGAAGGGAGCCAGGCCCAGCCAAAGGTGACACAGGGAAGGGGCTTAGGGGTTCGGGGCCACCCCGGGGCCGGGGGTAGACACGGAAGACACCAGGGTCATGCGGGAGGCGGGCCAGGGGGGGCCCTCGGAAGGCACCCAGCTCTGGAGGGCCAGGTGGCCGTGCCCGGGGGTCCTCTCCCAAAGGCTCCTCCAGCTCTGACGTGCCATCACTACAGTCACTGACTGAGCCTCGGCCCAAACGGCGGGCTACCACAGCAGAGAAGAGAGAAGAGGAAGATGAAGAGCAGGCCGGTGGAGATCGGGGATCCTCGGTGGGGGACAGCACCTCGGAGGGCGTTGAGGGAGGGAAGCGAAAATGGCTGCCACCCGATGGCACTGGAGGGGCACTTTGGGGCACGGCACCCCCTGACAAGAGAAGGGAGATTTGGCATCAAGATCTCTGGTCCATGCTGGACACAGAAGACCCACCTCTTCATTCACTCCAGGCCATGCATCCCCCACACTCACCGGCCAGACCCACGTCGATGAAAGGGTAATTAACCAGCACCAGTTTGTTGAAGTTGAACTTGTAGGTGAACCGTTTCCCCTTGGTCTTGTGCAGAATTCGCTTGTTATAATAATAGCTGTGGGCACAAAACACCATGGGGCCATCAAGCTACACTCCACAAGACCTAGGCACCATGACATACATGTGGCTGGGTGCCACTCATAAAGGGTACCCAATAGCCAAAGGCCATAAAAGAGAAATCAAGTAGCCAGAGAGTGAGAACCACACTAGAAGCTCCAGTGTGACTACATTCTCTGCCTAGGATACCTCCGTGTGACCCATGAGCTCCAAGGGTCAGGACTTGCCCAGGGCCCGACTTCACGCAGCTAGAGGATCTTATAGATCAAACCCAAAAACCTGTCCTCATGCACCAGGGGTTTCCAACCATGGGGACCTGCCACATGTCCGCTGGGGTCCACAGCCCCTCCTCACCGCAGGGCCCGGCTCAGCTTGTCATAGTTCATCTGGGGCTTGCACTTGCGGACCCCCCAGAGGCGGGCCACCTCATCAGGGTCCTTGATGACAAATTCCCCGTAGTCCCCTTGCCAGGCAATGACGCCCTGGTACTCCTCCTTCCGTAACAGCTCCAGGATAAAGTGCCACAGCTGGATCTGCCTCGAACCAGGGGAGGACTCCGGCTTGTAGGCCCAATCTGGGAAGGCAAACCCTAGGGACAGGAGACAGGGAGTGGCCTAGGGTCAAGATGCCAGGTTGGGGGCTCTGGGTTGACATCCTAGAGTCCACCTCCTGCCCAGCCCCTCAGCCTTCCATCACCAGGAAAGCCCTCTCCCCTCAGCCAACTGAAGACTCACATCGGAAGGTGACAGTATGTGTGTCTGTGTGAAGGGGTTAGACAGGAGCTGGGAGGAGGGAAGCTGGAGCCTGCTCCAGCGACACCCGGAGAAACAGGAAACCGACGGCGGCGGGTCCCGGGGCCAGTGCCAGGGGGCCAGGCACCAAGCCAGGACGGCGGGCAGGGCTGCCAGTGGGGGAGGGGGAGGGGCAGGAAAGGGCACACGTGGCCAGTAGGATGGGGGTACAGCCCTCTCTATGTACCCCTACTTCCATTTAGAGCCAATAGTGCCCACCCCCCCCACAGCTTTTGTGATCCTCTCCTTAGAAACATATATGATCTTTCCTCTTAGACCCATAGAAGCTCTTCCTCCCTCCCAGAGCTGGAGAAGATTTTTTTTTTTTTTTTTCTTAAAAGGACCAGGCCGGGTGGGGTGGCTGGTTGACGATGAGGTCAGCGCTTGCACACACACAGAGGCTTCTGTCTTCCCTTGAGAGTGAAACCCAGACTGTCTGAGAGAGTCCCCCCCCACCCCCCACAGCACTGGACCCTCTGAGCCACAATGGCCTCCCCCAGTCCATCCTTAGGACCTGGATGGAGGGGACCTGGCCCAGACAGAGCCCAAGCAGGCCCAGAATTGTCACCTTCCTCCTTCTTCTGCCATCTCATCCTCAGTTTACTCCCTGCCCACCTGCTGGCCCGCCCCCAGCATTAACCTTGGGTAGAGGTTGGCAGTGGGCTGACTTGGTCCCTAGAGGGGGGTGGGCAGCCTGGGGTGGGGGGGGCTGCGGTTGTTATTTCCCAAACCCCCGGGTAATCAGGGGCCATCAATAATTCAGCACTAGGCAGCCGGTAATGGAGGGGTGGGAGGAGGGAAAGGGGAGGAAGGGAAGGAAGGAGGGAGGCAGATCAGGGGCCCTAGAGCCACTATAGAAAGAAGACCAAGGTATATGGCTAAAAATGGGTGGGGTCCCAAGCCCTAGCCAAACTGGTGTATGTCAGTACCCCCCCTCCCTTGGGCCCAGCTCAAGCAGAAACCAACTAAGTCTCGGTGCAAGACTGAGCCTCCCCAAAGCCTCAACCCCAATGTGAAATCCAGAAGAGGTCCCTTCCCCTTGAGAAGGCAGGAACCAGTAGTTCCACTCCTTCAGGGACCACGTTTTCCAAATGCGTTCGTTCCTCAGTGTTCCCCTGCACAGACTTCGGAACCCTGGGCCTAGGAAGGGATGGCCAGTTCAGCAATCCCCTCCCCTAGTCCATATGCCCCATTCAGAAATCCCCGCCTCAAACCAGCCAGCCACTGCCAGGTTCCAGGAACCTGATTTCTAGATGTTTGGGACCTGAGCCCAGAGTCCTGAACCAGCAGCCCTACTCAGTTTAGCAGGGGCAGCCCCTGACAAACCCTTCTAAGGACCCAGGCACCCAAGCCTCATCCTTCTCTTGGGAATCCAGGTGTTCACCCCATTATCTCTGTCCTGCTACAGAGAACCGAAGTCCCAGGATATCCTCTAGGGTTCAGGGGTCTTTGTGAACCCAAGTAATCAAATCACCCCTCCATATACCCTGGAGCCACCTCCAAAAATCTCCTGACTCCCATCAGTGAACCAAGCTCCACGCTACTCCCACCTCCGTTCCAATCTGACTCCCAGTCCCAAGGGGGGGGGGGGGGGCTGAAGTCCCTAAGACATCAGTCTGGAGGTGGAGGGGTGTACTGACTTCCACCCTCCCCCCCCAAAATTAAAGCCACCCTTCCCAGCCCACCAGCCCCAGCCTCCGTGTCCCGGTAACCAGGCAACGTGTGTGCAGCGACAGTCCTGGGAGCGGGGGAGCAGGAGGCTAAAAATAAACTTTGCAGAAGAGAGGGAGAGAGACTACATGCAACACAAAGGGAACTCGGAAAGGAGGTGGGGGGGCTCTGGAAAGCCCTCAAGCCCACATTCTGGGAGCTGTCCCAGGCCCCCTTGTTAACCTCCTTCCCTGAGCACCACCACCCCCAGGCCTAGACCTCGGCTGCCACTTCTGGCAGAGACCCCTCCTCAAGCCCAGGCCCACCCCAGCACCACCCTAGTACCAGCTTTCCTCATCAGGACACAGCATACACGAGGGCCTGTTCCCAGCTTTGGGGAGGGGACGGAGTGGGGGTGACGTCAGGGTGTCTCAATGGGGCTCTGTTCCCCAGGCCTTGGAGCCAGGAGCCAGGCACCGGCAAGGAGACCATGTGTGTGTTGTATACGGGTCCACGTGCTTAAATCACGGAAACACCAGCTCTGCAGCAAGAAAGCTTGAGAGTACAGGAGCTCTCCGGCATGGGGGTCCAGTGAGGTTGGAAAAAAGCAGCTGCAACCGAGAGAAGGGCTGGCTCCAGAAACACAGACAGGGTGTAGAGGTGGCTGCAGACAGGAAGGGCTGTGATGGCTGGGTCCCAGAAGGCACACCTGGATATCCCAGACTGTGCAAGCCTGGGTGGGGGCCTAAGTTCTGGGAAACCACCCCCAACTTAACATAAATGCCTAAACTTTTTTCTTATGGGATTACAGGGGTCAGATAGGAGGGTGGGGGGGGTTGAGGAAAAATACGCCTGCCTCCCGGGGGGCCTGAACACCTCCCCCACTCCAGGCAGACCTCGATGGCGCCAGAGCCGGGAAGAAAACAGGAAGTGGGAAACAGCCACGGCGGAGTAGAGAAGCGCCGGGATGGAGGATCGGATGGAAGGGCGCGCAGTGGCCGGCAGTCGGAGAGACAGACCGACCTGGAGGCGTTCTGGTCCCCCGCCTTCCCCTGAGAAGCTACACGCGACCAGGACCCCAGGCAGGGTTGCACTGGCCCTACAGGTCCCGTCAAGCCAAGGCCCGTAACACCGAGGGAAGACAAGGCGGGGTTGTCTGGGCGCCTTGGTCCCCTCCCCGGGCGAGGCGAGGCTCCGGCTGCCCCCAGGGCCCGGCAGCCCGTGAGCCTGTGGGAGTCGGGGAGTAAGTGGGACGCACGTGACTGACCCTACGGCACAGCGCACCCCTGCCCCACCCCCGCCCCCTCCTCGGCCCCAATCCCCTGGCGCCGGAGCCCCACTCCGAGCCCTTTAAGAGCCGCCCCCACCCGCCGAGCAGGGAGGTGGGGTGGGTGGGCCGGTCAGGGCACACACCCGCACATAGGAGCCCGAGCCGCGGCCGCCGCCGGGGGAAGGAAACAAGTTTGAACAGCGGCGCCCGGCCCCCTTCCCCCCCTCCCTCGTCCCCGCCCCGGGCCGGATTCCGACGGGGCAGACGGGCAGGGGGCGGCGAGGCCCCCTCCACCACCACCACCACCCCCCCCGCGCGCCCGGGCGCAAAGTCCAGCCTGTGCAAGCCCGGGGGCGGCGGGGGAGGGGAAGGGGGAAAAGTCCGAGTGGGAGGGGGGTTAATCCTGCTGCCCCCCGCCCAGCGAACGGGGGGGGGAGGGGAACCCTGGCCCCTTAAGGAGGAGCAACTTGGCGGGGAAGAGAGGGGCGGAGGAAAAGACGGCCCGCTGAAAGAGAGGAGCAGGATCGAGGAGGGGGAAGGACGACGAGGGAGCCTCTGCATTCTCCCCCCCCACACCCCAATCTTTCCCACCCTTCTCAACTCCCGGCCTCCGCCCGCGCCGGAGGAGGGTACCCAGGTCTCCCCTGAGCCACCTTAAAGCGGCGCGTTCTAAGGTCGGAAACAAAAAGTTCCTTTTTCGAACGTTCGGGCTGCGCTTTGGAACTTTGCGACTCAGTGCGGGCGGGGGAGCGAGGAGACAGACGGGGGAGGGGCGGTGCAGCTCGGACCCCGAGTCCCGTGCTCCCCACTCACGCCCTGCTCCAGGCTATCCAGTACCCCGCTCACCCGGTGCGGGGCACGCGCCGCCGTGAAGGTCACGGGCCGGACCGCGCAGCGCAGAACCCAGCATAGCGGCCCCTGTACCGAACCCCCACCCCCCGTCCCGCACACGTCCCGGCCCCCGGAGTGCAACGTGACAGAACGGCAGGGAGGGAATCTGCCACCCCAAGGATCCGTGAAAGCCCAGGTTGCCGGGTCCCGGCAGGGAAAGACCAGCACCCGCAGCACCCGCACCATTCCAAAAGGATCCACGGAATTGGGGTTCCCAGGCAGCACCCCAGCTCGCGCCGCGAGAAGCAACAGGTCTCGAGTGCTCGGGGGTCCCCCAGAACTGGGGATCAATCGGGCTCCCTTGAACCCCTTCAGCCCCCGCCCAAAGTTTTTCCTCCCGGTTTCCCGGGGCAACAAGTCTCCCCCACACGTGCTGCCCCCGCCCCCACCTGTGTCCGCCGGGGTCTTCATGCTGGGGGGCCCGGGGCAAGGCGCCCCGACTCCGGGCCGCTGCTCCTGGTGCCCGCGTTGCCCCGTCCCGTCCCGCGCCCGTTGGGACGCCCTCGCCGCCGCACCCGGCCTCGCCTCTCGGAGCCTCTCCCCTCCCCGCCGCCGCCTCCCGGGTTAATATCGCACTCCGGGGCCGGGACGCCCACGCCCCCCGGCCGGCGACGTCACCACCGCGTCGCCATGGAGACACTGTGCCCGCCCCCTCCCGCGCACTCACACACGCTTGCCGGCGCGCAGCCACTAAGGACTGGCCGGCTCTTGGCTTAAAGGGGCCGCGCGGCGGGGGAGGGAGGAAGAAGAGGGCGGGGAGGGGCTGGGGGGTCCTGGGGGTCACGACCCTTCTTGGAGGCTCTAAGTCAGCAGAACTTAAGTCTTCAGCACTCACTACCTGCTGCCTCTCTTCTGCCTTTTCCTGGCTCCAGAGTTTCTTTTGGGACCTTTCGGAGGAAAGGAATTTTATGAAGGGGGACGATCAGAAATTTTTGTGGGGAAGGGGCAGAATCTTCTCCGCAGGGGGCGGAGTCTGGATCTTGGAGGATGATCAAGAGCATAGCCATTTCCCAGCCTGGGTTTACCCAACCCCCCTCAACCCCGAGCCTGAAAGAGGGCAGCTGTCCAGGGGTGGGGTGGAATGGGTGGGAAACATTTCCCAGCATCGGAAATGGGGAGGCGGCTGTACCCTCGGCTCCTGTGGAGATGGGGTCTTGGCCTTCCTGATAGACCCAGTCCAGCTGGGGAGGAAGTGACCAGAGGATGCATTCGGGAGCCCCCACAATCATTACCGTCCTCAGGCTGCAGCTGTCCTGGGAGCGCGGCCGGAGGTACCCCCACCTCCACACCGGAGCAGGGGGTTCCGGAGATAGTGCCAGGATGCAGGGGGCGACCCAAGTCTGAACAAATGTGCTCCGGAGGAGCATTTGGGGGTGAGAGGAAGACAGGGCTTAAGACCAAAGGCCTGAGCGTAGGGGAAGTGTTAAGTCTGTGTTCTCTGCAGCAGATGGGAGGAATGGATGGAGCCTGAGGCTGGGAAACAGGAAATCGGGGTACCGATCGGATGCAGGTAGGCAGCCTGCAGCGGGGTAGAGGGCAAGTAGAAGCTATATTTTCACAAGCTAAACATAAACACAGTCTCAGGGAAAATGAAAAATAAACCGGAGTTAGCAACGCGATGTAGGGCTAGGAGACTGAAAAGATGATGAATCAGACTCAGCCGGAAAGAGGGAGGGCCCATCGGGTTCAGGCTATAGGTTCTTAGTGCTTCAACCCCAAACTTCTCCGTTGCTGGGTTCCTGTTTAGCCTTTAAACTAGCTCACCAGTGCTTCAGAGACGTCTCATGTGCCTCCTTAGGGAGACCGTTGGCCTCCAGGGAAGTGTCACCCCCTTGGGGAATTATGTAACCTTGCCTACGGACAGTGCAGCTCCCCACGGATATGTAACCCTCCGGGAGCAGCGTGGTCCAGCAATAATCACCATTGTTACAATAACAGCTCTCAATTCTGAGTGCTCACGATGTGCCAGGCTCTGAGCCAAGTATTGTCTGAGGCATCTTCATACTCCCAATGAGGGGGTTACTACTGTAACTCCTATCACAGATGAAAAATAAAAGGCTCTTTCTTATAGGGGAAATCATTCTGCCAAAATCCTATAGCAAGGAAGTACTGGGATTAGTATCCAAGCCTGTACAATTAATATCCAGATCTGTATAATTCCAGTTTTGCCTGCACTTCACTGTTTGAAATAGATCAGTAACAGGCCCAGTATCCCCTCTTCCCACCAGGAAAACAGACCTGAGTGGCAACCCTAACTCTGCTACCCTCTCTCTGACCTAAAACAAGTGAACTCACCTCTTTGAGCCTCATCTGTAAAATGGGGCTACTGGTAAACCCTAAAAGATTAAAAATTCTTATTAGAGCCGAGCGGTGGTGTCGCACGCCTTGAATCCCAGCACTCCGGAGTCAGAGGCAGGCAGATCTCTGTGAGATGGAGGCCAGCCTGGTCGACAGTGAGTTCCAGGACAGGTTCCAAAGCTACACAGAGAAACCCTGTCTCCAAAAGAAAAAAAATATTATTAGAAACCAGGATGTGATGTAAATGTGCAATAAATATTGGGCTGGGGTCTAGCTCAGCATATGTTTGGCATGCTTAAGACTCTATGCTACACTGCCAGCACCAATAATTAATTAAATAAAGCTAGGCATGCTAGCTAGCTCACTCCTGTAATCTCAGCACTCAGGATGCTGAAGCAAGAGGACTGGTCCAGTTCAAGGCCAGCCTGGGTTATTTGGGAGTTCAGGGCTAGCTTGGGCTACATCATGAAGCACTGTCTCAAGAAAACCTATAAAACAAGGGGCTAGAGCAATGGCTCAGTGGTTAAAGAACACTGACCGCTCTTCCAAAGGACCCAGGTTCACTTCCTAGCACCTACATAGCAGCTCACAACTGTCTGTAACTCCAACTCCATGGGATTCAACACCCTCATACTGAGTTACTGCTCTTGCAGAGAACCCTAGTTAGGTTCTTTTTTTTCTTTATTAAGAAACTTTTTGTTCATTTTACATACCAACCACAGATTCTCCTCTCATCCCTCTTTCTGCTCCCCCACAGCCTTCCCCAACTACCCACCCCCATCCCCCATCCCCTTCTCCGAAAAGACCTCCCATGGGGAGTCAGCAAAGCCTGGTACATTCAGTTGAGACAGGACCAAGCCCCTCCCCCCTGCATCAAGGGTGCGCAAGGTGTCCCACCATAGGTAATGGGCTCCAGAAAGCCATCTCATGCACAAGGGATAGATCCTGATCTCACTGCCGGGGGTGCCCTCAAACAGACCAAGCTACACAACTGTCTCCCATATGCAGAGGGTCTAGTCCAGTCCCATGGAGGCTTCACGGCTGTCGATGTTCATGAGTTCCCACTAGCTTGGTTCAGTTGTCTCTAGTTTTCCCCATCATGATCTTGACCCTCCTTACTCATAGAATTCCTCTTCCCTCTCTTCCACTGGACTCCTGTGCTGGCTGTGGATTTCTGTATCTGCTTCCATCAGTTACTTGATGAAGGCCCTAGTTAGGTTCTTAACACCTATATAAGGCAGCTCACAACTACCTGTACCTCTAGCTCCAGGGAAATCGAATGCCCTCCCTGTCCTTAGCTGACACTCACAAGCACACACACAATTAAAAAAAGATTTTTTTTAAAAATAGGGTCTCGATTTGTAGCTCTGGGTGGTCTAGGACTCACTCTGTAGACCAGACTGACTTTGCACTCACAGAGATCTGCCTGCCTCTGCCTCCTGAGTTCTGGAATTAAAGGCATGTGCTACCCAGCTAAAATATTTTTAAAGTAACAAAATAAATATACAAATAAAACTGATACTGGAAATAATTATAAACAGTGAAAAACATACATTATATATATGTATATATACATGTAATATATATGTGTGTGTGAATATATTAATCGAGTGATCATATACCTCATTGATGTGAGCACCCTATGCCCTGCAGACACCCAATTATAAATAACACATATCATTGGCAGTATGAAATTGTGCCAGTCATGGTGGTGTATGCCTGTAATCTTGGCATTAGGGAGACTTGAGACAGAAGGATCCTAAGTTCAAAGCCACTCTGAAATATATAGCAAGATCCTGTCTCAAACAAACAAAAAGGTAGGTGTTTTGGTTAACTACAATGCCCACTGCACTCTTACAATGTACTAAGTTAAGTGTTTTTTTTTTTTTTTTGGTTTTTTTGAGACAAGGTTTCTCTGTGTAACTGTCCTGGCTGTCCTGGAACTCACTTTGTAGACCAGGCTAGACTCAAATTCACAGAGGTCCGCCTGCCTCTGCCTCCTGAGTGCCAGGATTAAAGGGTTAATCACCACTGCCTGGCAAGTTGAGTATTTTTTAAAATAATTTTATTATTTTTTATGTATATGTGTGTTTTGCCTGCATGTATGTCTGTGTACCACATGTGTGCCTGGTCCCCAAAAGGCCAGAAGAGTGTGTCAGATCCCCTAAACCTGGAGTTAAGGATGATTGAGAGCTGCCAAATGTATGCTGGGAATTGAACCCAAGTTCTCTGGAAGAACAGCCAGTGATCTTAACCATTAAGCAATCTCTTTACCTTCAACAGCATAATGCTAAATTAAAAGGGGATTGGGCGGCCGGGCGGTGGTGGCGCACGCCTTTAATCCCAGCACTCGGGAGGCAGAGCCAGGCGGATCTCTGTGAGTTCGAGGCCAGCCTGGTCTCCAAAGCGAGTTCCAGGAAAGGCGCAAAGCTACACAGAGAAACCCTGTCTCGAAAAACCAAAAAAAAAAAAAAAAAAAAAGAAAAAAAAAAAAAAAAAGGGGGATTGGGCGCCTGG